GCTGTGGGAATGAACAGAACTCTGATGGCTCAGCAAGGAGGGACAGGCCCGGCGGGTGGCGTCCCGGCCTATAACCCAGACCCTAGGGACTGCCCCCTGCCCGCTTCTCCAGTGTCCTACGGGTCCTGGTACCAGCACGTGCAGGAGTGGTGGGAGCTGAGCCACACCCACCCTGTTCTCTACCTCTTCTATGAAGACATGAAGGAGGTGAGACCACCTGTGATGCTTCCCCTCATGTGACACCTGGGGGCAGGCACCTCACAGGGACCCGCCAAGGCCACCCAGCCACCTCCCTGGGCGGCCCCCACAACAGGCCCAGATTCCCCATCCTGCCTCCCTGGCCCAGGCCTCCCCGCTACAGCCCCACCTGGCAGCGGGTCCCACACAGCTCTCATCTCCTGTGCCTGAGTCAGCTGCATGGGTGGCCACGGATCAGCTGCTTTTTTTTGAGACCAAGTCTTGCTCTGTTGTCCAGGATGGCGTGCAGTGGTGTGATCTCAGCTCAGTATAACCTCCCCCTCCCAGGTTCAAGTGATTCTCCTGCCTCAGCCTCCTGAGTAGCTGGGATTACAGGTGCACACTGCCACGCCTGGCTAATTTTTGTGTTTTGCCATGTTGGCCAGGTGGGTCTCCATCTCCTGAGCTCAGGTGATCCGCCTGCCTCAGCCTCCCAAAGTGTTGGTATTACAGGCCTGGACCATGGTCACCCTCCATGGATCAGCTCTCTATTCCGATTCCTTCTCCCTGCCAACAGTTATGCCACCCAGGGCCACAGTCACGGAAGAAGACCATCCCGGTCCTCACCCATAGGAGCCAAGCCCAGCTCATGATGGGATCCCAGGGACCGGGGCCCCGGGGGTCGAGGAGCTGGCTCTGTGGGTTTTCTAGTGGAAGTGGCCAGTTCCCCTCTGAGGTTAGAGAAGGGGACCCCTTTTATTTTCCTGAATCAGCAAACCTAGCCTCCACTGAGGAGCCTCTGCTCCTCAGAACCCCAAAAGGGAGATTCGGAAGATCCTGGAGTTTGTGGGGCGCTCCCTGCCAGAGGAGACCGTGGACCTCATGGTTCAACACACGTCATTCAAGGAGATGAAGAAGAACCCTATGACCAACTACACCACCGTCCCCCAGGAGTTCATGGACCACAGCATCTCCCCCTTCATGAGGAAAGGTGGGTGCCGGCCAGCACGGGGCTTTGGGGCGGGTGGGAGCAGCGGCTGGAGCCTCCCCATAGGCACTCGGGGCCTCCCCTGGGATGAGACTCCAGCTTTGCTCCCTGCCTTCCTCCTCCAGGAATGGCTGGGGACTGGAAGACCACCTTCACCGTGGCGCAGAATGAGCGCTTCGATGCGGACTATGCGGAGAAGATGGCAGGCTGCAGCCTCAGCTTCCGCTCTGAGCTGTGAAAGGGGCTCCCGGGGTCACTGCTGAGGGAGTGTGCGAATCAAGCCTGACCAAGCGGCTCAAAAATAAAGTATGATTTGTGTTCAATGCAGAGTCTCCATTTCAAGCCAAGAGAAACCATGAGCTGAAAGAGTGATCACCCACTGGGGCCAAATACGGCCACCTTCTCACTCCAGCTCCCCAACTTGCCCTATTTGGAGAGGGGACAGGGTCTGGAGAAGTAAAACCCAGGAGACGAGTGGAGGAGGAATGTCTGTTTAATCCCAGCACATCCTCTGCTGTCCTGCCCTGTGTCGTTGGGGGATGGTGAGTCCACCAGGCAGCGTCACTTTTTCTTGGGCTCCTTACAAGCCACCACGTACCTCTGAGCCACATTGAGGGGAGGGGAATAGCCGTCTGCATAGGAGGTGTCTTCAAACAGGACCGAGTAGTCATCCTGGGGCTGTGTGGCAGGTAGACAGGAGGGCTGCTCAGAGAGCCCCAGGCCAGGACAGGCACCCCCTTTCCCCAGCCTAGACCACAGGAGCCACTGGGCCGTGGACTCTCAGCCACTCTCATCATCCTTCACTCTGGGGTCAAGATGTCTTGGTCCAGTCCCTGCTGCTACACAGCTCTTTTCTCAGTGGCTGGAGACCCAGGGCAGTGAAAAGGGTGGGGAGAGGAAGGGGCGCTGACTCCCTTCCTAATGGGGCCATAGCTGGAGGGTCTGCTGCCTTTCAGGGACCCAGGGCAACCCAGATGGTGGCAGGTAGGGATCCTAGCCTCAGGTGGCTTGTGTCCCATGTCACCAGGAGCATAAGGGGGTAGGAGCCCGGGGCTCAGGGCAGGAGCTTCCCATCTCAGAGCTAGTTCTCCTAGGAATGCAGAAAGGGAGTTGCTGACTCAGGGCTTGCCAAGACTGCCAGGGCTTGCAAGGCAATGGTGACCTTTGGGGCTGGAGTGGAAGAGGGAGGGCAGCTGGTGGGTGCTGTCAGCTTGGAGCCTGTGAGATGAGGACAAGGGGAGGGAGGGGGGAGAGGACCCCTCGTCTGTCTGATCAGCCTGTTCCTGACATCACCCATGGCCTGTCCCATGGAGGCTGGTTTACCCGCTGTGGGGGTGCGTGGATCAGGGCACGGTAGAAGCAGGTGGTCTGGGGATATAAGGCCAGCACGAGCTGCTCCTTCTGAAACAAGGCCTCGGGGTCCGTCTCTGGGTTGGCCTTCCATTGGGGCAGCGGGATGACACGGCGCCGGCTCAGGGTGTGTCTCCTGGGAGAAGAGGGGCTTATATCAACATGTGGCCCGGTGGGGATGCTCCTTCCCAGCTGTTAGGCTGCCCCCAGTCTCTGTGTCCTGCCCTGGCCTAGACACTCACTCTTTGCCTTCTTCATCGATGTCGTCTACCTCATACCTGTGGACAAAAGGAGGAAAACGCTGGATGCAGCCAGGGGTGCAGTCCCTGTCGGGGAGTGAGGATGGGGGAGGACCTGGTGCTCCTTGCACAGTTGGCCTCTGGGGAGCACCCTCTGGGGAACTTTTCTCCTGCTGTGCAGATGGGAAGCAGAGCGGCAGCCCAGGCAAGTTCGGTGACCAGAAAGCAGCCCCGGGGCTGGTGTCACTCACTTGTTGGTGGCATGGCTGTAACTGACCACCTCGGCCAGGATCCACTGCTCGTCCCCATCCACGGCCTTCACCCGGGCAGCCACCTTGTCTCCAGGTCTGGCCACGTAGTCCCCTGAGGCGGGGATGGCCCCACAGAGGGGTGGGGGCCTGTGAGCAGAACAAAGGGTCAGTCCCAGCCCCTGGGCACCAGCCCCTCCCTCGCAGCTGCTGCCCTCACTTGTCACCGGGCTTCCCGATCCACAGGGGCAGGGTCATGGCCGACTGCTGCAGCAGGGTCATCAGCACCCCTCTGCGCATGGTCTTCCGGGGTGGCTCCGAGTCATTGTAGAGACCTGCGATCTTGGCCGCTGTGGGAAGGAAGGGAGGCCTGAGGCCCCAGGGACAGGTGCTGGCCCTGACCCCCCAGCATGCTGCACTGAGCTGTTGGAGGAGCCCCTGGGAGCGCCCAGTTCCTGAGTGAGCCCGAGGGCCCAGCAGGACTGTGACCCCATCGGTCACGTGTCAACACCTATAGGGGCTGCTGCGCTGAACCACAGTTGAGTGAGAGGGAAGCACAGCGCACACCCAGGGGGAGGAAGCAGAAGAAAGAAAGCAGTTTCCGAGGTGCTGTTCAGGCTGTGTTTGCTGATCTGAATGCTGGTTACAGAAGTGTGTTCAGTTAGTGAATATGTCATGAACTCTGCACTTACATGTACTTTTCTCCTATTAATATACGTTGTAATTCAATAGAAAGTTAAAAAGAACACAACAGGCCGGGCGCGGTGGCTCAAGTCTGTAATCCCAGCACTTTGGGAGGCCGAGACGGGCGGATCACGAGGTCAGGAGATCGAGACCATCCTGGTTAACATGGTAAAACCCCATCTCTACTAAAAAACACAAAAAAACTAGCCGGGCGTGGTGGCGGGCGCCTGTAGTCCTAGCTACTCGGGAGGCTGAGGCAGGAGAATGGCATAAACCCGGGAGGCGGAGCTTGCAGTGAGCTGAGATCCAGCCACTGCATTCCAGCCTGGGCGACAGAACGAGACTCTGTCTCAAAAAAAAAAAAAAAAAAAAAAAGAGCCACAACAATTAAATGTGCACCTTCAACCTCCTTAGGCACGGCTGGACACCCCACTTGACTTCACACAGAACCAGCATGGCTGTGTGTGTCGTTGACGTGCCAAGATTCTGCCCACCGTGAGACTGTTGGGAGGGCAGACGGGTAGGAGAGCCTAATGCAGGTTGAAGGGGTCTGGAAGGCTGGCTTTACGACACACAGTGGGTGGCTCTGCAGAAACCAGCCAGGACAAGAGATGGGCGTGGGCCATGGCAGGAAGGAGGGGGTGACTGGCCCAGGCCCCAGAAGGGGCAGGTGATGAGGGGCTGCAGTGGGATGATCTCTGGCTGCTGAGGGAGAACTGGGAAACCCCTGCCTCTGGGCGCTGGGAATGATCTCCTGTCCCTTCTCAGTGGCAGAGCCTCCGTGGGAGGATCCCAGCAGGCGGTGGCTGCAGGTCCCCACGGGAGGGTGACTGCTGCCCGAAGGGCCTTCCTTGTCCTAGCAAAGGACCTCCCAGCACATCCTCTCCCACTCACCAATCCGCCTCTCCTCCAACAGAGACTTGATTTCCGCGATCTTGTCCAGGGCTTTCCGAAGGATGCTGAGGGCGGGGAGAAGGGAGAAAGAGGGTTTGGTTGACACATATAGCATAGACTTCATTTCCATTTTTTCTGTTTTGGGTCTCCCTATATTGCCCAGGCTGGTCCCAGGCTCCAGCAGTCCCTCCTGCGCAGGTGGAATGACAGGTGTGTGCAGTTTCCTGTTCTGGTCAAGGCAGGCTGGGTTATTCAGACCAACCTCACTGGTGAAAACTAGAAATCTGCCTGGGTGTGGTGGCTCACGCCTGTAATCCCAGCACTTTGGGAGGCCGAGGAGGGTGGATCACCTGAGGTCAGGAGTTCAAGACCAGCATGACCAACATGGCAAAAATCCATCTGTACTAAAAATACAAAAATTAGCCAGGCGTGGTGGCGAGCATCTGTAACTGTATTCCCACCTACTTGGGAGGCTGAGGCAGGAGAATCGCTTGAACCTGGGAGGCAGAGGTTAGTGAGCCGAGATCACGTCATTGCACTCCAACCTGGGCAAAAAAGAATGAAACTCCATCTCAGGAAAAAAAAAGAAAAAGAAAACTAGAAATCTTCAGTATGTGTTTTTTAGTCTTAAGAACATAAAAAATAAGGTGGTAGAAAGCAGCAGGCTAAAAACTAAGAGAATACAGGATCCCAGAGAGCAAAGGACACAGGCAAGTGGCCTTCGGCAAACCCTGCAGAAAGGCTGCCAGAACCTCCTGAAATGAGGAGAGGGGGCCTCAGGTCTACCCCAGGTCACGCAAAAGGAGGGGAGACTCTGGGGAGAGGTGCTGGCTCAGAGCAGTACTGGGTGGAAGGAACTCATCCTTTCTGAAAGGTTGCACCCAAAGACAGACTGCTGCATGGCCTTGCATCCGCAGGAAGCCTCTGTGACGTTTATGGGGATTCCAGGGTGGCAGGAACCCAGGGAACCCAGCAGAAGCAAACACAGAGCTTTGCTGAAGTCAGGCTTCTTCATCCTAAATCTCAGGAAATCTTCCCAAAGAGTATTTCCACAGCAGGGCTGGCTGCGGTGGCTCACGCCTGTAATCCCAGCACTTTAGGAGGCTGAGGCAGGGGGATCACTTGAGGTCAGGAGCTCGAGACCAGCCTGGCCAACATAGCAAAACTCGTTCTCTACTAAAAATACAAAAATTAGCCCGGCATGGTGGCGGGCATCTGTAATCCCAGCTACTTGGGATGCTGAGGCAAGAGAATCGCTTGAACCTTGGGGGCAGAGCTTGTAGTGAGCCGAGATCGTGCCACTGCACTCTAGCCTGGGTGACAGAGCAAAACTCCATTTAAAAAAATAAGAATATTTCCACAGCAGTCAGCAGCACAAACTCCACTTTGGGTCATTTTATTCTCCCCCGATACCATGGCAAACCCTGGTCCATTCCCCTGGCAAGCGCTTCTGAAATGACCCAGAGTTCTAAAGACCTTTGTGCGGCAGGAGGGAGACGCATAGGAACTGGGCATGGTGCAGCATCTCGGGAGGTGTCTGGGGGTGCCCCAGGGCATGGGACTCATGGACGTCACCAGGCCAGGGCCAAAAGATGGAGGTAGGCCAAGGGCAGCCAAAAAAACGCAGGGACAGGAAACAGCTTGCCTGCTGCGTACGATGCAGGGATGGCCCAGCCAGTGTCACCTCAGGCTGTGAGCACTGGGACCCCAGAAAGCAGAGAAGGAGCAAGAGCCACGGGGCCAAAGAGAACTCTGAGACTCTCATCACTGGTGCCAGGCCTGTTTGGAGGACATAGTTTTATGCAGCCTGTCCTAAATTGTCTTCTGTGACGTGTTACTGAAGTGGCTTTCAAACCTTGGTGGGCATCAGAATCTCCTGGGGGAACTTTAAAAAATCTCAATTGTTTCATGCACAAATCACAAATGGATGCTAAAACTAGTGTGTTTGATATAAACGGGATAGTTACAGTCTCAAAGTATCTCCCTACAAGACACTTACTAATTATGCAACGGAGGCCAGGTACAGAGGCTCACACCTGTAATCCCAGCACTTTGGGAGGCCGAGGTGGGTGGAATGCTTGAACTGAGGAGTTCAAGACCAGCCTGGGCAACATGGCGAAACCCCATCTCTACAAAAAATACAAAAATTAGGTGGGGTGGTGGCATGCGCCTATAGTCCAAGCTACTCAGGAGGCTGAGGCAGGAGGATCACTTGAGCCCAGCAGTTTGAGGCTGCAGTGAGCCATAATCATGCCACTCCACTCCAGCCTGGACGACAGAGTGAGACCCTGTCTTAATCAATCAATCAATCAATCAATCACACAATGGAAAACAGCAGTAATCTGATATAAGAGAAATGTGGAAGATACCACTTTAACCAATGGGACAGACAGCATCCTATGCCGCCTAATATGATCCACCAGAGATATCTCTTCTGTGCCGAAAGTGTAAAGCCTGAATCCTCCTAGTGAGGAAATGTCAGATAGTTAATACCAATGTTGGAGTTCCCCCCCAAATAAACACAGCCTCTGGACACAGTCAGACTTGAGAACCAGTGTGTTCTCAAAGGAGAGGAATGTAATGTTCAAGTTCCTAAAGTTACTGCAGTTTCACTGTAGAGATTCAAGGAAACAATGTTTTTAGATCATTTTATTTTTTATTTTAGTTTTTTTTTTTGAGGCAGAGCCTCCCTCTGTTGCCCAGGCTGGAGTACAGTGGCACGATCTTAGCTCACTGCAACCTCCACCTCTTGGATTCAAGGGATTCTCCTGCCTCAGCCTCCCAAGTAGCGTGCGCCACCACACCTGGCTAATTTTTGTATTTTTAGTAAAGATGGGGTTTCGCTATGCTGGCCAGGCTCGTCTCAAACCCCCAACCTCAGGTGATCCGCCCACTCGGGATTGCAGGCATGAGCTACCATGCCCACCCGGCCTTAAGATCATTTTAAAAGCAGCAGTTTTCTGGAAGTGAAACTTCTCCATCTCAGAACCATAAAACCTTTAGGTCATGTGAGCATGACTTCCCAGCCAAGCTTACAGACACATGCCACCACGCTCAGCTAATTAAAACATTTTTTTGTAGAGACGAAGTCTCACTTTGTTGCCCAGGCTAGTCTCAAACACCTGGGTTCAAGTTATCCTCTAACCTCGGCCTCCCAATCACCTCTGTAATGCTTTGATTACAGATCTGAGCTACCCAGCCCCTGATATCCCTATTTTAATGACTCTGCCAAGGTCACAGAACCAGTAAATGGCAGTGTTGATTCACGCCTTGCTGCCTTCTGTAAAGGCGTTAGCAGCAGAGGTAACTGGAAGAGTGGGCCTAGCAGTGGGACAGGAAATGCGGGCAGCAGAGGTAACTGGAAGAGTGGGCCTAGCAGTGGGACAGGAAATGCCGGACCCAAGGGAGAGGCCGGGAGTAGCAATCAGCTTATCCATGGGAGGAAGGCAGGCTGGGGACTTGGTCCAAATGTGCCTGCAGCCTAGCCCTGAGGCAAGGAGGGAGCGGCGGGGGAGCGGGAGCACAGTACTCACTTGCACTCAGCCTCTGCATCCGCCTTGGCGGTTGTGTAAAGGCCACGCAGCTTTGTTCGGTAATAGGGAGAAACTGCAGAGGAAACATAGGGATTAGGATGCAGGGCCAGGGCAGGCACAGTAGCATGGCACTGCTTCCATGCACCGGAATCACACTCGTGGAGGCACAGAGAGGCCGTAGCTTCAGTCAGAGCTCTGCTGGCTCAGGAGTGCTCCCCAGACGGATACCCCCAGGCTCCACGAATCCACATTTCCATATGGTACAAATGCCATCCCTACATCTGCGAGAGGACTGTCTTACCTTTTCCCCATCATGACACGCACAGAAAATGATTTGTCAGGACCCAGGAAAACACAATTCTCAGAGTTACCCAGAGTAAGAAAGCCCCAGCCCCAGAATCTGACCACCTGAGGGCCTCAGGGCATATGCAGGGGCCGCCTGGGAACAAAGCTCCTTTCTAGAAAACACCAGCTAACTGGGGAGCTTGTGCGTTCTAAGGGCAAGGTTCCCTAGATACAGCCTCATTTCAGTGCCTTTTGAATCCTCAGGGTGGAGGGATTTTAGCTCTTCAGGTCACCCAGATTAAGGGAAAGCTGTCCCCCCTGCTGCATTTTGGAATATGCAGATACATGCACATCTATTTTGAATACAATGACCACCTCAGTCCCAGTCCTGGCCATACCCACCCCACCCCATCTCATCCCCTTTCTCTCCTGAGCCCAGGTACTCACTCTTGTTCTCTGTCTGCATCCGTTCATGGGTCTTCTGGATATTCACTAAGTTGTGTTCGCTCCGCGAACGCTCTTCCTGTAAGGAAAAGAGCGGCAGGACATGACGGTGGCCCTTTGTGCTGCTGTGGCACCCTGCGAGCCAGGCCAGAGTCCCCATCCCCAAAACATGGCCCTCATTTTCTTTTTTTTTTTTTTTTGAGATGGAGTCTTGCTCTGTTGCTTAGGCTGGAGTGCAGTGGCGTGATCTCGGCTCACTGCAACCTCTGGCTCCCAGGTTCAAGCAATTCTCTGCCTCAGCCTCCCGAGTAGCTGGGATTACAGGCACGCAGCACCACACCTGGCTAACTTTTTTTTTTTTTTTTTGAGACGGAGTCTCGCTCTGTCTCCCAGGCTGGAGTGCAGTGGCACAATCTCGGCTCACTGCAAGCTCCGCCTCCCGGGTTCACGCCATTCTCCTACCTCAGCCTCCTGAGTAGCTGGGACTACAGGCGCCCGCCACGATGCCTGGCTAATTTTTTGTATTTTTAGTAGAGAGGGGTTTCACCATGTTAGCCAGGATGGTCTCGATCTCCTGACCTCGTGATCTGCCCACCTTGCCTCCCAAAGTGCTAGGATTACAGGCATGAGACACCGCACCCGGCCTAATTTTTTGTATTTTTAGTAGAGACAGGGTTTCACCATCTTGGCCAGGCTGGTCTTGAACTCCTGACCTCGTGATCCACCTGCCTCGGTTTCCCAAAGTGCTGGGATTACAGGCAAGGGTGCCCGGCCATGGACCTGATTTTCTAAATCCAAATTCAGGAGTTCAAGATGATTTTCTCCTTTGACTAATGCAAAAGCATTACAAAAGACATTAAAGGGCCTGGTGCAGTGGCTCAAGCCTGTAATCCCAGCACTTTGGGAGGCCAAGGTGGGCGAATCACTTGAAGTCAGGAGTTCAAGACCAGCCTGGCCAACATGGTGAAATCCCGCGTCTACTAAAAATACAAAAATTAGCCGGGCATTGTAGCATGTGCGTGTAGTCCAAACTACTCTGGAGGTTGAGGTGGGAGAATTGCTTGAATGTGGGAGGTGGAGGTGGGAGAATTGCTTGAATCTGGGAGTGGAGGTTGCAGTGAGCTGAGATTGTGTCACTGCACTGCAGCCTGGATGACAGAGTGAGACTCTGTTTAAAAAAAAAAAAAGAGGGCATTAAAGTTAAATCATAAGTGATATCTTTAACAACAGTCCTTTATCAAAGAGACAAAATCAATCTATACAGTCAATGCAATCCCCATCAAAATTCTAGCTGACTTCTTTGCAGAAATTGACAAGTTCATCCAAACATTCATATGGAAATTCATGGGACCCAGATTATCCCCAATCTTGGGAAAAAAAAAAAAAAAAAGTTGGAGAACTCACATTTCCCAATTTCAAAATTTACTATGAAGCTATGGTAATCACGATGGTGTGGTACTGGCATATAGATCAACAGAACAGAATCCGGAGTCCAGAAATTGACACGTACAGGTAGGATCAACTGATGTGGGGAAGAAGGAGTGGGGAAGAACACTGGTGCAATTCCTCCCATATCAGTGGTCCTGGGAGCAGAGCTGTGACTGAAGATGCTGGAAACTGACATGGTTCCTAAGCAAGAAATTATGACTATGCTTTTTAGCCTTCGTGTGAGAATTTTTAAGTGCCTGATGGGTAGGTTGTGGCTTTACCACAACCTGCAAAATGAGGTTAACAGTGAACATAGCTGCCTAGTGCTCCAGACGGCCGATAGTCCATACCTGCGTGGCCCCACCCTATACAAATGGGAATGGATTGGGGTCAGCGGGGACACGTGCTAGACTGCTGCCACTGCAATCTGGACCAGGTACAGTGGCCAAAGCTAACATCCCTTCCAAAGGTGGAAAAGTTTGGGTGAAAACCAATCACAAATGGAGAGGAGAAATAGTAGCCGAGTTAACAGAACAAATTAAATGGGTTATGCAATGAGGGAAATCCAATATTGTATTCATACCTTAAGAGAGGCTCAGAGAGAGGTCAGTTACACCGGGTGCCTGAAAGGGCGAAGCCCTGTGTCTGTCAGGACCACGCCTGCTTTTGGAAGCTGATGGGTGAGATGGGAGTCTGGGAACTCGGCGGCAGCTGTCTGAGGGACACCCTGGTTGTATGGGATGATGATAAACTGGTCTAACTGTGGATGACTGAATGGAATGCGCAATCTGCCAGTATCTTTTTTTTTCCTTTATTTATTTATTTTTTTGAGATGGAGTTTCACTCTTGTCGCCCGGACTGGAGTGCAGTGGTGCGATCTTGGCTCACTGCAACCTCCGCCTACCAGGTTCAAGTGATTCTCCTGCCTCAGCCTCCCTAGTAGCTGGGATTACAAGCGTATACCACCACATCCAGCTAATTTTTAGTAGAGATGGAGTTTTGCCATGTTCACCAGGCTGGTCTCGAACTCCTGACCTCAGGTGATCCACCCGCGTCAGCTTCCCAACATGCTGGGATTACAGGCATGAGCTACCACGCCCGGCCCTTTTTTCCTTTATTTTACAATTCATTTTATTAATAAACTCTTCCTTGGAGCAGTTTTGGTTTACAGAAAAGCTGAGCTGATGGCACAGAGCTCCTGTATGTATACCTGCTCTGCCCTATACAGTCTCCCCTATTGTTAACATCTTGCATTAGTGTGGTGTGTTTGCTACAACTTATGAGCCGATACTGTTAGATAATTAACTACATCCATCCCCATGATGGTTAACTCCATGTATTCTGTAGTTCTATGGGTTTGGACAACGCATCATGTTGCGTGCCCACCATCATGGTACCATGCAGAAGAGTTCCACCCCTTAAAATCCTCTGTGCCCCACCTATCCGTCCCTTTCATCCTGTCTCTCCCAAGGCCCTGGCTATCGCTCATCCTTTCACTCTCTCTAGTTTTGCTTTTTGTTTACAGTTGGAATAGACAGCACGTAACCTTTCAGACTGGCATCTTTCACTTAGCAATGAGTGCCGGCATCTTCTGACTTTTACTCTCCAGGTTACGCCTAAAAATGGTATCTTTTGGGAAGGAATTTCTGGGATCTACTCCTTCCTGGCTGTGTGGTGCACAACTGCCAGCAAGCTGATCCCTGTGTAGCTATAAACCCTGATTATCGTGGGCAAAATATGGTGGGGCATGCCGATAGCCCAAGTGAGGTATAGGCACCAATACACATCTCCCTTGTATCTGTGAAAGAAAAGATATCAAATAGGGGGAAAATGGCTTTTTTTTGTTTTTGAGACAGAGTCTTGCTTTGTCGACCAGGCTGGAGTGCAGTGGTGCTATTGCAACTTCCACCTCCCAGGTTCAAGTGATTCTCCTGCCTCAGCCTTCTGAGTAGCTGGGATTATAGGCATCCGCCACCACGTCCACATAATTTTTGTATTTTTAGTAGAGACAGCCAACATGGCAAAACCCCATCTCTACTGAAAATACAAAAGCAATTAGCCGGACATGGTGGTGTGTGCCTATGATCCCAGCTACTAGGGAGACTGAGGCAGGAGAATCGCTTGAACCCAGGAGGCGGAGCTTGCAGTGAGCCGAGCTCACACCACTGCACTCCAACCTAGATGACACAGTGAGACTCCGTTTCAAAAAAGAAAAAGAGTGTTTTTGTTTGCCTGAATTAATAGGGTGTAAGGTAAGGAAAGATATGGGGCATTTTTGTTGGGTGCCAAAAATGTTCTGAAATTGATTGTGGTAATGGTTGCACAACTTTGTGAGTTGCGAAAAACCACTGGATTATACACTTTCAATGGATGCATTGTATGGCATGTGAATTCTATCTCAGGACAGCTGTCAAACAAAATGAATCATGAAATCCTGTACATGTGGAAAATCCAACAGGAATGGTAGCCATACCCCAAATTCCCTTCCTCTCACCTTTGTTACATCATTTTGGTTCCTGCGTGTCCAATCTCTCTGAACACAAACACCACCCCCACTTCACAGCTCAGCATCAAAGCCTATGTTCCCATCTGGAAATGGAAAGTGGTGACTTTTTACCTGGGTTTGCTTGATCAGCTGATGGAGCTCCGTGAGAAGTTCTGCAATGCGGGAATCGGCAGACACGAGGGCCATTGTCTACAGGGGCGCCTGGTGGGGGAGTGAGGACAGAAGAAAACTCTGTTAGTGGCTGCTGTGGGCTGAACTGTACCTCCTCTAACGATACATTAGGCCTGGAGGCTAACATTGTAATCCCAGCACTTTGGGAGGCCAAGGTGGGAGGATTCAGGAGTTTGAGACCAGCCTGGGCAACACAGCGAGATCCCGTTTTTTAAAAAAAAAATTAGGCTGGGTGCGGTGGCTCAAGCCTGTAATCCCAGCACTTTGGGAGGCCGAGACGGGTGGATCACAAGGTCAGGAGATCGAGACCATCCTGGCTAACACGGTGAAACCCCGTCTCTACTAAAAATACAAAAAAAATTAGCCGGGCGAGGTGGCGGGCGCCTGTAATCCCAGCTACTCGGGAGGCTGAGGCAGGAGAATGGCATGAACGTGGGAGGCGGAGCTTGCAGTGAGCTGAGATCCGGCCACTGCACTCCAGCCTGGGCAACAGAGCGAGACTCCGTCTCAAAAAAAAAAAAAAAAATTAAAAACTTGCCCCAGCATAGTGGCACATATCTGTAGTCCCAGCTATTCGAGAAGCTGAGGTGAGTGGATCACTGGGGCCTAGGGGGTCGAGGCTGCAGTGAGCTATGATTGCGCCATTGCACTCCAGCCTACAGGACATGACACCCTATCTCTTTAAAAGATAATAATAATAAAAAGATACATTGTAGTCCTAACTGTGGTACCTGTAATGTAACCTTGTTTGGAATTAGGATCTTTGCAGAAGTATTTAAGATATCACTAAAATGAGGTCATAGTGGAATAGGGTATGCCCTTAATCCAGACACACAGCCAGGTGCAGATAGAAGCAGAGACTGAACTTGGACAGCTGCAAGCCAAGGGATGCCAAGGACTGCCAGCAGCCACCCAAGCAGCCGGGAGAGATGCAGGGAGTAACAGCCCTTTCTAAGCCTCCAAGAAGCAACCAATCCCTTGTCTTTGCAACCAAGCTGACATCTTGATTTTGGAATTATGGCCCCTAGAACTGTGATGGAATAAATTTCTCTTGTCTTAAGCCACCCAGTTTGCAGTAACTTGTTATGGCAGCCATAAGAAATGAATACAGTGGCAAGCTATCCTCAGATTCTCCTCTACCCTAATGATATGTTTGAATGTCATATGTTTGACCAAGTCAAGGAGTCAAGGAGTCAATATTAAGTGCCTTAAAAAGACAGCATACTGTTGGCCCCTGCTCTGCTGCCAATATCCTGACAAATGATTCAAACATTTCTGGTCTCCATATTTTAATCCGTAAAATGGGAATCATCTCTGCTATATTTTGGGAGATTCAAATAAGATTTTATATGAAGACACTTTCCAAGTCATAAAACACTGTTACTTTCTTATAGTGGGAAGAGAATTTTTTTTTTTTTTTTTTTTTTTTTTTTGAGACAGAGTCTTGCCCTGCTACCCAGGCTGGAGCGCAGTGGTGGCGATCTTGGCTCACTGCAATCTCTGCCTCCCTGGTTCAAGCAATTCTCCTGCCTCAGTCTCCTGAGTAGCTGAGACTACAGGCGTGTGTCACTACATCTGGCTAATTTTTGTATTTTTAGTAGATGGGGTTTCACCATGTTGGAGGCTGGTCTCAAACTCCTGACCTCAGGTGATCGCCCGCCTCGGTCTCCCAAAAGTGCTGGATTACAGGCATGAGCCACCCCGCCAGCAACTATGGGAAGAGAAATTAACTACTGTAAAATATCTCAATCAAGATTAATGTACTCCTGATGAAATAAAATGCTTCTGTACAATAAAAGATAATTAGGGCGGGTGTGGTGACTCATGGCCTGTAATACCAGCATTTGGGAGGCCGAGGCAGGCAGATCACGAGGTCAAGAGATTAAGACCATCCCTGGCAACATGGTGAAACCTGTCTCTACTAAAAATACAAAAATTAGCCGAGCGTGGTGGTGGTCGCCTGTAGTCCAGTTACTCCAGGAGGCTGAGGCAGGAGAATCACTTGAACCTGGGAGGTGGAGGATGCAGTGGGCCGAGATCACACCACTGCACTCCAGCCTGGAGACAGAGCAAGACTCCGTCTCAAAAAAAAAAAAAAAAAAGAAAAGATAATTAGAACAAGAGTAAAAAGACAATGAAAAATCATCAAAAGTGGTAAGTTATAACTAGGTGAAAATAGACATATGCCTAAAGATAAAGGTATATTTGATAAAATAAGAGGGAGATATTTTTTAGGGGTGCTAAAATTTTGTACAATTAGCCTGCATCTTACAAAGTTTGTTCAGGCTGGGTGCAGTGACTCACACCTGTAATCCGCAGCACTTTAGAGGTGAAGGAGGAGGATGGTTTGAGTCCAGGAGCTTGAGATAAGGCCTGGACAATATAGCAAGACCCTGTGTCTCTATTTTTATTTTTTTATTTATTTTTTGAGATGGAGTCTTGCTCTGTCACCCAGGCCTAGAGTGGCGTGGCACAATCTCTGCTCACTGGCAGCTCTGCCTCCTGGGTTCAAGCAATCCTCCTGCCTCAGCCTCGAGAGTAGCTGGGATTACAGGTACCTCCACTTCACCTGGGCTAACATTTTGTATTTTTAGTAGAGACGGGCGTTTCACCATCCTTGGCAGGCCTGGTCTTGAACTCTGACCTCTAATCCACCCGCCTCAACCTCTATTTTTTTTTTTTTTATTAAATACGTTGTTCAGCTAACACATCCTCCTACTCAGAGATCAGATTCACACTGAATGGAGCAAACTCTTCCCCGCACTTAATGAACTGTGAACCTCTCTCCATGTATTTATTCGTATCTTCTTACAGGCTCTGTTGCTGTTATTTAAAAGTATAACAACATACAAACTAGGAATAGAGGGGAACCTCCTCAACCTGATGAAGGGCATCTATGAAAAACCCATAACGAATATCAGACTTAAAGGTGAAAGACTAAAAGCTTTCCCCTCAATCAGGAACAAGATGGGCATGGGCCCTTGTCATTTCTAGTCAACACTGTTCTGGAGGCTCTTGCCAGGGCAATGAGGCAATAAGATGAAATAAAAGGCATCTAGACTGGAAAGGAAGAAGGACAACTATTTCCATTTGCAGATGACATGACCTTGTATATAGAAAACCCTAAGAAATCCACTAAACAACTATTAGGACTAAGAACAAGGTTAGAACTCACAGCAAAGTTGCAGACACAAGAGCAATAAACAAAAATCAATTGTGGCCAGGCCCCCGAGGCTCACGCCTGTAATCCCAGCACTTTGGGAGGCTGAGGCGGGAGGATCACTTGCAGCCAGGGGTCCAGACGAGCCTGAGCCCCCCTCCACTTTATATATTTTTTAACTTAAAAAAAAGAAAGCTACAGTAATCAAGATGGTGTGGTACCGGCATAAGCAAAGACATCTAGTTCAATGGAATAGAACTGAGAGACCAGAAATGGCTGACTAATTTTCAACAAGGGCATCAAGACAAATTAGTGGGGAAAGAATAATCTTTTCAACAAATGGTACTGGGACAACTGAATATCCACATGTAAAAGAATGAATCTGGTTCCCTACCTCAGCCCACATACAAAAATGATCTGAATAGATAGTTCTCCAAGGAAGACATATAAATGACCACCAAGCACATGACAAGATGCTCCGTATCATTAGCCATTGGGAAATGCAAGTCAAAACCACTGAAGACATCACTTCACACCTATGATAAAAAAGAGACAAGAGTTGGGAAGGAGGTAGAGAAACTCTATGAATGCATATAGTGTGATATTGTCCATACAGTGGAATATTACTTGACAGTAGAAAGAAATGAAGTACTGAGACACGCTATGACATGGATGAACCCTGAAAACATTATGCTAAGTGAAAGAAGCCGCAGTCATGGAAGACCACATATTGTGTTTCCATTTACATGAAATATGCAGAATAGCCAAATCCATAGAAAGCTGGGTGGGGAAGGGTTGGGAGAGAAAGGACGGTGACTATTAATGAATATGGGTTTTTGTCTTGTTTTGTTTTGTTTTTTTTGCCACGTGATGAAAATGTTCTAAAATTGTGCTGATGGTTGCACAACTCTGAACATACTAAAAACCAATGAGTTGCACATTTTAAATACATGGTACACGGCCACCCCCTCCCAGGCAAATATTAATTTACTTTCTGTCTCTTTAGGTTTATGTAGTCTACACTTTTTTTTTTTTTTTTTTTTTAATGAGACGGAGTCTCACTCTGTCACTGAGGCTGGAGTGCAATGGCACGATGTTGGCTCACAGTAACCTCCGCCTCCCGGGTTCAAGTGTTTCTCCTGCCTCCCAATAGCTGGGACTATAAGCGCCCGCCACCACGCCTGGCTAATTTCTGTATTTTTAGTAGAGACGGGGTTTTGTCATGTTAGCCAGGCTGGTCTCGAACAACTGACCTTAGGTGATACGTCTGACCTTGGGTGATCCACCTGCCTCAGCCTCCCAAAGTGCTGGGATTACAGGCGTGAGCCACCATGCCAGGCCTGCACTTTCTTTTTATTGCTAAATAACATTCCATTGTTTTGCTATATCACATTTTACATGTCAATTCATGAGCTGATGGACATTGGGTTACATCCATTTTTTTTGGCTAATATGAATAATGCTGCTATAAGCGTTGTGTACAAGTTTTTGTGTGGGCATGTTTTCTTTTTGTTTTTCTTTCTTGAGACAGAGTCTCGTTCTGTTGCCCAGCCTGGAGTGCAGTGGCGTGATCTCTGCTCACTGAAATCTATGCTTCTCTCGTTCAAGCAATTCTCCTGCCTCAGCCTCCCAAGTAGCTGGGATTACAGGCACCCACCACCAAATCCGGCTACTTTTTGTATTTTTAGTAGAGATGGGGTTTCACCATGTTGGCCAGGCTGGTCTCAAACTCCTGACCTTAGGTGATCCACCTGCCTCGGCCTCCCAAAGTGCTGGGATTACATGCGTGAGCCACCGCGCCTGGCCTTTCTTTTTTAACTTTAATTTTAGATTTAAACATTAGTAATTACTCGGACCGCGCGGGTCAAGC